AAGTTCTTTTATTGTTGAGAATAGTTTTCGCTATCCTAGGTTTTTTGTTATTCCATATGAATTTGAGAATTTCCTTTTCTAACTCTGTGAAGAATTGAGTTGGGATTTTAATGGGGATTGCATTGAATCTGTAGATTGCTTTTGGCAAGATGGCCATTTTTATTATATTAATCCTGCCAATCCATGAGCATGGGAGATCTTTCCATCTTCTGAGATCTTCTTCAATTTCTTTCTTCAGAGACTTGAAGTTCTTGTCATATAGGTCTTTCACTTGCTTGGTTAGATTCACACCAAGGTATTTTATCTTATTTGCAACTATTGTGAAGGGTGTCATTTCCCTAATTTCTTTTTCAGTCTGTTTATCTTTCATGTAGAGGAAGGCTACTGATTTGTTTGAGTTGATTTTATAACCAGCCACTTTGCTGAAGTTGTTTATCAGGTTTAGGAGTTCTCTGGTGGAAGTTTGGGGGTCACTTAAGTATACTATCATATCATCTGCAAATAGCGATATTTTGACTTCTTCCTTTCCTATTTGTATCCCTTTGACTTCTTTTTGCTGTCTAATTGCTCTGGCTAAGACTTCCAGTACTATATTGAATAGGTAGGGGGAGAGTGGGCAGCCTTGTCTAGTCCCTGATCTTAGTGGGATTGCTTCAAGTTTCTCTCCATTTAGCTTGATGTTGGCTACTGGTTTGCTGTAAATTGCTTTTACTATGTTTAGGTAGGGGCCTTGAATTCCTGATCTTTCCAAGACTTTTATCATGAAGGGATGTTGAATTTTGTCAAATGCTTTCTCAGCATCTAGTGAGATGATCATGTGGTTTTTTTCTTTAAGTTTGTTTATATAGTGGATTACATTGATGGATTTCCGAATATTGAACCATCCCTGCATTCCTGGGATAAAACCTACTTGATCATGATGGATGATTGTTTTGATGTGGTCTTGGATTCGGTTTGCTAGAATTTTATTGAGTATTTTTGCATCGATGTTCATAAGGGAGATTGGTCTGAAGTTCTCTTTCTTTGTCGGGTCCTTGTGGGGTTTGGGTATGAGTGTAATTGTAGCTTCATAGAACGAATTGGGTAGTGTTCCTTCTGTTTCTATTTTGTGGAATAGTTTGAAGAGAATTGGTATTAGGTCTTCCTTGAAGGTCTGATAGAATTCAGCACTAAAACCATCTGGTCCTGGGCTTTTTTTAGTGGGGAGGCTTTTGATGACTGCTGCTATTTCCTGAGGGGTTATGGGACTATTTAGATGGTTTATCTGCTCCTGGTTTAACTTCGGTACCTGGTATCTGTCTAGGAAATTGTCCATTTCATCCAGGTTTTCCAGTTTTGTTGAGTATAGGCCTTTGTAGTAGGATCTGATGATTTTTTGAATTTCTTCAGTTTCTGTTGTTATGTCTCCCTTTTCAGTTCTGATTTTATTAATTTGGATACTGTCTCTGTGCCCTCTGGTTAATCTGGCTAAGGGTTTATCTATCTTGTTGATTTTCTCAAAGAACCAACTCCTGGTTTTATTGATATTTTGTATTGTTCTTTCTGTTTCTATTTGGTTGATTTCAGCCCTGAGTTTGATTATTTCCTGCCTTCTACTCCTCCTGGGTGTATTTGCTTCTTTTTGTTCTAGAGCTTTTAGTTGTGCAGTCAACTTGTTAGTGTGTGCTCTTTCCAGTTTCTTTTTGTAGGCACTTAGAGCTATGAGCTTTCCTCTTAGCACTGCCTTCATGGAGTTCCACAAGTTTTGGTATGATGTGTCCTCATTTTCATTGAATTCTAAAAAGTCTTTTATTTCTTTCTTTATTTCTTCCTTGACCAAGTCATCATTGAGTAGAGAGTTGTTCAGTTTCCATGTGTACGTGGGTTTTCCATTGTTTTTGTCATTATTAAAGACCAGTCTTAGTCCGTGGTGATCTGATAAGATGCAAGGGATTATTTCAATCTTTTTGTATCTGTAGAGGCTTGTTTTGTGACCAATTATATGGTCTATTTTGGAGAAGGTACCATGAGGTGCTGAGAAAAAGGTATATTCTTTTGTTTTAGGATGAAATGTTCTATAGATGTCTGTTAAGTCCATTTGGTTCATAACTTCTGTTAATTTCAAAGTGTCTCTGTTTAGTTTCTGTTTCCATGATCTGTCCATTGCTGACAGTGGGGTGTTGAAATCCCCCACTATTATTGTGTGAGGTGTAATGTGTGTTTTGAGCTTTAGTAAAGTTTCTTTTATGTATGTAGGTGCCCTTGCATTTGGAGCATAGATGTTCAGAATTGAGAGTTCACCTTGGTAGATTTTTCCTTTGATGAGTATGAAGTGTCCTTCCTTATCTTTTTTGATTAATTTTGGATGAAAGTCGATTTTATTTGATATTAGAATGGCTACTCCAGCTTGTTTCTTGGGACCATTGGCTTGAAAAATTGTTTTCCACCCTTTTATTCTGAGGTAGTGTCTGTCTTTGTCACTGAGGTGCGTTTCTTGTATGCAGCAAAATTCTGGGTCTTGTTTGTGTATCCAGTCTGATAGTCTGCGTCTTTTTATTGGGGAATTGAGACCATTGATGTTAAGAGATATTAAGGAAAAATGATTGTTGCTTCCTGTTATTTTTTTTATTAGAGGTAAAGTTATGTTTGTATCTTTTTGGGGGGTTGTTGGAAGATTACTTACTTGCTTTTCCTAGGTTGTAGTTTCCCTCACTTCCTTACATTCTTATTAAAACATTACTTCTTCCCAGGGAAGGAAGCCAGTTGATAAGCATGTCCAAGGATGAGTAATGTCCCTGTATGTACTTTAGGTACCAACAGCTAGCTCTGGCAATGTATGGATTCTGTCCTTTCTCCACTGGATTCAACACATTGTTCCTCACCCAGCGTAACCACACTCCTCTCTCTCATCCCTCCATTGCAGGAGCTTCAGCTTCCCACACTTACTGGACATTGAGCCCTCAAATCTCCAGCCTATCTTCAAAGTGGTGTCTGACAGAAGGCCATCCATGAGTGCTTGTACCTTGAGATTCATTCCTTGAGTGTAGGCTAGATCTACAGACTAAACTTTGGGTGAGCCTTATCTACAGCCAGGGTATTCTTCTGCCCTGCTCCTTCCATGAAGCCAGTCACTGTTGTGAAGCACTTTGCAGTCCATCAAGAAGGATGGGAGCAAAGTGGTAGATCAGTGAAGCTACCCTGCCAGTCATCTTTCAGAGAGTTTAGAAGAGGAATCTTATGGTGGAAGTGTGGCCACTGAATCCCTATATGAGTGCCCTAAAGAGGACTCAGTTGAGCTGTGTTTACCCTGGCCCTACAGTGATGAGTGAGAGCTACAGTTTGGGGCAGGCTTACTAATAACAATAACCAATATGCCCTGGAAATACTTGGTGTCTAAACTCAACATGTTCAGCCTGACTCCAGTTCTTCCCTCTCAGAGGAACACTTTCTAGTCTCCTCATACTGAACAACCCTATCCTTAGTATCACACCAGTTCCAGCTACCACTGGTTATAACTTGTCCTGTTCTCAGCCTGAGAGCCCATCCCAAGTGTCATTAGAAACAGTGGTGGCAGCAGTTCTCAGTGGCTAGCTGCCCCTGACTTGTTCTCCAGGGTGTGGCATAGCAGATGTGGTATCACCCGCAGTACACTCTCAGTAAAGTGGAAAGGGAAAGTGGCTAACACCAAATTTGTGTTCCTGGGCAGTATGGACCTGTTATCTTCAGGGCCTATAGGTGTAGGTTCCGTAGGGAGAACTGACGTGACACCAGGTACTAGACCTAACTCTGAGAGATGGGGGGAACATCTAGATAAAAAAGGACATGTGTTCTACATGAGGTCAGGTGCCAGGAAAGATGGCATTACTGATAAATCTGAAAGCATTTAGACATGAGAAAAATTTCTAGATAAGCTTAGAAATAATGTTTTTTTAAAATTCCTATTTATAAAAGTAGTGGAGAGCTTTAAAAGTAACCCAAAAGATACATCATTCAGAGTGTTTAAGTCACAGGGAATGTGAGGTGCCCTCCTAGCTCTGTTATTGATAAAATAAAACATGGTGTTCTGTTGAAACATAGGCTCAGTTGAAGTAAGTTTGAGGTTTGGTTCTCTCCCACTCTACAAATACAACCAAACACACGTAAATATAAATGAACCAGGTCATTCCTATATACAACCTAAAAATATAGCTTCAAATTAAAACAACAAGATTTAATCCATGGGTCTTCACTATACTTGGAAGAAGAGGAGGAAGAAGGATGTGTGAAAAGAAGGAAGGAGGAGGAAGAGGAGGAGGGGGAGGAGGAAAAAAAAGGAAGAGAAGAAGAAAGGAGGAGGAGGAGGAGAAAGAAGACAAGAAGAATCTAAGTCTCAAGTCATCAACAATGCTGAAGTCAGGAGTGTGTGTTGAACATACTTGTAGGCTAGGTTTATGGTAATTCTGCTAGTAAGAACCATTGGTCATAAGTGGGGTTTTTCCATGGGAGAACCCCAGCACTCTGCCAGGTACTATTATCACAGCCTCAGGCAGGGTCTGTACCACCATTAAGGTCTGGATAAGTGAAGCTGGAGGAAACCTGCACAGCAGGAGTAGCCAGGCTACCATTGCAAGAGACCAAAGAAGTTTCCCTACAGCAGAAACCATGTGTATAGAAGAGGTGGCTCTAACTCAACACTTTCTTAGGGAGATGGTCATAACAACATAAAAGGTGTCTGATACACATTTGTGAATATAGGGTCTCCTCTTTGGATGAAGGAAACCAGTCCTCTGAGCTTAAGTTTCATTGTTATAATTTCTGCTTGTTGCTTTCTTAAATCCTGCTGCTCCTAGTGTCCTACTCTTGCATAATAGTCATATTCTCTTATCTCTGTATATTTTAGTGTCTCCTGTGCTTTCTGTGGGCTTCTGACCATGAGTTCAGTTCCCTGCGACTTGCTGGCCTTCTTTTGGTCTCTCTTTCCTGTAGTCTGTCCTTTTTCTATGAGCTCATTTCTGGCAAGGATTCCCAAAGCACTGTCTGCCTCAAGACAGGTGAACTAAAGTGGCAAGACTAGAGTGGTACATACTCAGGTAGATGTGGAAGAGGAACAGATGCCCGAGCAGCACAAAGCCGGCAATGTCTAGCAGCAGTACCATCACCGCGATGGAAAGGACCACAGGGGTCTTCACAGGCACAGGCCACAGTGAGGGGAACAGCAGCCATATGTTCTCAGAGCTGATCTCTATGAAGACAGAGAGATATGTCCATCCAACACCTATCCAAACTGCAGCACCTGTGGTCAGGTAAGCAGAGGGATAGCACTTGCTAGGGTGAGTGAGGACAGCCAGCCAAGGGATAGGTTTTGCCCTGCGTTTGCCCTATCCTATGGACCCACTGGCTGTGGCTAGCACTATGATATGATTCCCACTTTATGGATTCAAGATGATAGAAGTTCCTGAATACTGGATTGCAGAGCCAGCCCCTCTCCTCCCCTTCTCCAAAGTCTTGACCTTTATTTCAGATCAGTCACCTCACAGACATCAGTGAAGACCGAGCCCTCTTAGTGAATTTCTTAAACACTGTTCTCTATGGCCCTCAAGATCAAGACTATGAATATGGTGTCTCCAAGGCTGTGTGCAGACCAGTGGAGGATCAGACTCCAAGCCCAAGCATGTTGACCCTTATCACATTCTAGAATGGTGTAATCTGAAAAGGGAATACCATATGCTGCCATGTGGGCTGGGCCACTGGATGTCCACTCACAGATGTCCCTTACTCAGTGATGACATGGTGAACTTCAGCCCACAAGATGCTGAGTTCAAGCCATGGACTCTGTAGGGTCCTGGAATGGCAAACCAGGAAGTGACCTCCACTCATACTCAAAGAATCACAAGTCTACTCCTAGGAGTGATGTGCTTCACTTCTCTGCACCACATTTGATGTCATGGTCAGTGGCATGACACATACTCTGACTTTCACCATACTCTGACCATCAGTCACCATACTCTGACTTTCTCTATTCCCTTCCTTTCTTTTACCTTTCTCTACTTGCTCAGCATGGCAATAGTTTAGGGAAATGTAATAGCATTATTAATGAAGGGGCCATTTCATGCTAAGGAGTACCAAGAAGTCCTAAGTAGTTACAGAGGATATGGAAGCTGAGGTCCTTCTACATGGATCTCACAAAGCTCTTTCTTAAAAGAACATTCTGTCATGTTGGCTCCAGGAATGCCCCAAGACAAGTGGCACAAGATGCTAACCTCTCCTATAGCAGGGCTTGGGTAGATGCCTATGATGCTTGGAGGGGAGGTGGGGTGGTACCCCCCTAGCCCATAGGATAACCAGCAAAGGAACATCCCACTTAAGTCACCTGTGTCAGTATCTTGGGGCTTTTGTAGCAAGTGATCATAATCTGGTGGAACTTAGGCTATACAGTAATCCTCTCATATCTGTAAGCCACAAGCCTGAAATCAGAGCATCTTTTCTGTGGTTCCAGAAAATGCCCCTTCTATCCTCTTTCTGCTCTGAGTGCTCCTGGGCTTATGGTCATATTGTCCAGCCTATGAGTCCTACTTCCATAGGTCCTTTGCAAGTCTGTATTTCCTCTTGTTTCTCCTGAAGACATTGTCATTGGATTTTGGGCACATGAGGGGCCTAATATGAGTTTCTTAGCTCGGAGACACTTTTTCCAAATAATGTGCCATCTCGTGTCTAGGACAGGACTCAGACACATTTTGGTGGCCATGTTCAACCCAATCCCTTTCCTTCTTGTTTGTTTCTGACATTTATGTCATGGGCTTGGACTTCTGGACCTATTCAATCATAGAATCACTGAGCTTCTCCTCAGAATCTGTGGCTAGACATATAATAGCCCTGCTTTCTTCTGTTCCTGTCTACAAATAGTTGTCTCCTACAAGATAGGCACCTGCCTTCTCCACCCAGCACTGCTAAATAGTCCACTGTCTAGGTGTTCAAGACTGATTGAAAGGTCAGGGTATACATCACTCTAATCCCTGGTCTCAGGTCAATTGGAGAGTGAGAGAATATAGACGGGTTGAGGTAAGGTCTGGAAGCCTAACGCTCAGCGCATGGGAACCAGGCAGTAGCAATCCCTGAGCATCAGATGGGTACCTTTATATAGGGGATCTGTGCGAAGCTCATCAGGGTCGACAAAATACTGGATGAAGACGTACAACAAGATAATCATCATACCAAGAAGCCCAAATGCAGCTGAGGCCACAGAGCAGAAGAAGAACCTGCATGAGAGAATACTTCTCAGAGATGAGCAAGTCAGAGATTAGCACAGACTAATACCCAGCTGAGTACATAAGATCAACACACAGGTCTGGTGTGGTAATGTGGAAGCACAGAACCAGAAGTCTACTGGTGTCTTCTCCACCCTTCCTTCTTGTGTTCTTTCTACTATGTCCTTCACATACTCTAGGCTGATTCTGGCTCATAATTATACTGCTCCACATTTCCCATAGCCTTCTACCTGAGCCCTCATGTCCTTCCATTCTGCAGTCTACACAAGAGTGTCATTCCCATCCAATAGGAAAAATCAATCCCCAAGATGGCAGACTAACACCTAGGTGAACAGAACATCTTCCAGCAAGTGTATTCTAATCATGGCTACTCAGGAATCAAAGCCTTTCTTGGTTTTGTTGTTGTTGTTGTTGCTGTTGTCTTTGGTTTTGTTCTTGTTCTTGTTGATGCTGTTCCTCCTCCTCTTCTTCCTCTTCTTCCTCTTCCTCCTCCTCTTCTTCCTCCTCTTCCTCCTCCTCTTCCTCCTTCTTTTCATCCTTCTCCTTCTTCTTGTTAGCCTTCTTATTCTCCTTGTTCCCTTTCTTTTTATTCTCCTTCTCTTCCTCCTCCTCTTCCCCCTCCTCCCCATTGTTGTTGTTGTTCTTCTTCTTCTCCCTCTTCTTGTTCTCCTTCTTGTTCTCCTCCATTCTTCTTATTCTTCTTCCTCCTCCTCATCTTTCTCTTCTTTCTTCCTCTTCCCTCCTCCTCCTCTACCTTCTTCATTCACTGCCTTCCCATACACTGTGTCGAGCTTCTCCAGCCTTTGCTGTACCCCATTCTGCAATATCCATATGGCTTCCTGTTTATTAGGACTGTGAGACGTGGGCTTCTATTCAACTCTGGGGTCAAATTATATCAAAATGCCACTGATGGTCAAGAGAGATGGCTCAGTGGTTAAGATCACTGACTGCTCTTCCAGAGGACCAGGGTTCAATTCCCAGTATGTACATGGTGGTTCACAACTGTTTGTAACTCCAGTTCCAGGGGGATATGATGCCCTCTGGGGGTAAGAGATACCCAGACATAAAAATAGACTAAACATTCACATACATGAACTACAAATAAAAATGTTTAAATGTTTTTTTTAATCCCATTGCCCCTACTCATGCTTTCTTGGGCACTGGAGAGTGAGGGGACAGAAAGTGAAGATGCTAAGAATCAGTGCTAACTAGTGAGAATGGGTGGTACCTCTATCATCCTCTGCTCTTCCCTTGACCTCAATTTTGGCACATAAAGGCCATGTGTCAATGCCACAGCAAGCGTGCTTTCTTCTGCCTTCTCCCCACTCATGGGCAGACTCCATCTATTCCAATTTACCTTCCTAAAAACTGGTTGATTAGACAGAAAAAAAAATCTCATTTCCCTGTGTCCAGGCAGTATGAGGCTCTCAAAGGGACAGTGGACAAGGATCTCCTGGCTAATCCAGTCACTTCTAGAACCATGGTGGTCACTTGAAGGGTACACTGGGATGCCTAGTAACAGTAGTTTTTCCCTGGATGGATGGCAGAGACATCATAGCCCAATGTGTTGTCAGAGCAAGGGAAAGAACAGTGTTGGTATAAGGGGCTACTATATCCTGTTCATCTTCAGAACTCACAGGGCTAATGGACAACCTAGGCCAGTGGTTCTCAACCTGTGGGTCAAAACTCCTTTGACAAACCTCTATTTCCAAAAATATTTACATTACTATTCATAACAGTAGCAAAACTATAGTTATGAAGTAGCAATTAAAACAGTTTTATAGTTGGGGTCACCACAGCATGAAGAACGCTATTAAAGGTTCACAGCATTAGGGAAGTTAAGTACCCTGGCCTCAGAATCCAGATGCCCAGAAGCTCTCTGGATTCTGCATTCATGAGCAGGGCAATGCCTTAAGATGGCCTAGATGCTTACTCCTGTGCTCAAGGGTCTAGCCACTGTTCTTAGATTGATGGCCATGACGTTGAGAAGGTCTTGAAGTAAGTTTAGAAGGCTAGACCAGGCTTTGACCTACTGTTCATGATGAGCACTCGATTTACGGACTTTGTGAGTGTGAACTTGACCCACATGTTTAGGAACAGCCCCACCAAACACATATCAAACCTGGCAGCACACAAGCACTAAGCTCTGCCATAGTTGGAGACAGAGACATGGCCCAAAGGTCATCCTTTCCCTGTGATGTTCCCCAAGTTGATGGCCCCCTCCACTCCATCACCTGCCACTTATTCCTAGGAATACCAGGCCACAGATCCCTCTCCTAGGTCACAGCCTTGACCCTGAAAGTGCCTCACCAGTAGTTTCTCCTGCCCACACAGTTGTTCAGCCATTTGCAGTGGTGGTCAAAGCCAGAGACACATTTGTTGCAGGAGCTGCAATGTTTGGCTTTTTTGCTCCTGGAAGAGAAATTGGAAGAAACAGCTTGTTAGCCCCAAATGCACAACGGGAACTATGTGACTACCATGAAATGGTGGGTGGGGTCTCCATCTGAAGACAGTAGGGAACTGGAAGTCTGTAGAAAAGACAAGGCCATCTTGGGCAGAGAGAAGCCTGTGCCCATGGGCATTTTTCCTGGAAGATGGACCCAAGACTTCCCTGTAAGTAGGCTTGTTTGCTAGATGGGAGCCTATCTAGGAGTTGAAGGCTGGTAGTTCACCCAGTGCCTACAGAACCTTCCTGTAGCCAAGTCAGTGCGCTGCCCTGCTCAGGTTCTGGAGACTTTGTACCTCACCAGGCATCAGTTGAAATTGCCTTCCCTCCTCCCCAATTAGAAATGTGAGGTTTATCAGAAAAACCACAAGGAAGTAGAATGCTTGCCCCACCACCACCACCTCAAAGGGCCTGTGTGTACAAGATGACCTGAGAAAGACACCACTGGGCCTCAGACTGCAGCTCTTCACACCAAGGGAGAGAGTTATTGGGATTGTCAGCCTATAGGGTAGGGCAGTATAGTGCGGCCCACTAGGAGGCTGTGAGTACGTGACTGAGCCCTCTATGGAGTGCCACAAAAACCTAGTGCCCAGCAACACCAGGCTCATCTGGGCAACTGTGGGGCCACGGGTCAGCAGGACTCTACACCCAAACTCCTACTCCACTCACACGGTAACCTCACACAGGTGGCAATACTGGTTCTGAATCACATGTGCGTGTTTGGACCTGTCGAAGGTCGGCATAGGCTTCATGTAGTCCTTTTTGAGTCGGACATTGTTGTCAGCTGGATCGATGGTAATTGCGATCAAGTGCACGATGAGGTGGAACGTGAACACCCCACCCATCACCTGGGCTGTCAAGGAACACACAGCCCTGAGCCTGGCTGACATGGTAAAAAGTGTCTCCCAATGTGACAGACAGTGTCAGAGACTAAGGAAAGACCCTGGGACTCCTAGTCATTGATATCTGCAGCATCTGAGAGCATATCCCATAGAGTCACTCACTTTGGAGAATCAGACAAGCCAGATAACTACTGGTCACAGTGTGCACAAGCCCTGAAATGTCTTATGCGGCCAGGGACAAGGAAAAGCCTTCAAAAAGAGTAGTTTATACCTTAATGATAGCTTCAGAGGCCCAAAGTGGTTCACCTGGTGGCAGGTGTTTCCCAGATGGGAAAGCCTAGGATACAAATGGGACTAGACCAGGCTAGACCATGTAATATATGTGGGTTCCATTAGCAATAGAGTTACTGTTGGCCACAATACAGGAGAAAGCTATGTTCACCAGAAACATGAAGGTTAGGCATCATTTGGAGGGTACACTCCAATCTCAGCTTGAGTTAGAGCTTCAGGGGTCATGAGACTCTCAGGTACCTTTGGACTTTGCCCATCTAAGCCTACATGACCACAAGAAAAAGATCTTTGTCCCCTCCATCTCTCCTCCTGTCCCTGGGATAATATACAAAAGGAGGTATCAATTACAGAGGCTCCCCTCTCTTGCCCTGATTTCTGGGCCAGATAGACCAGCATTTACGGCATCTCTAAAGGAAGCCAACAAAGTCCCATGCCCCACAGCCTAAGTTTGTGCCAGCAGGCAGGCTACCTTGTGTCCAGGCAAGAGAAAGGACATAGGCACACACAAGAGGCTCTGCAGAGATTTTAACAGGACATGGGCAGTTAACTCAACAAGAAACCCCTTTTTCCAGCCCTTCTAAGAACTCAGTTGTTGGCCTGGCTTGTAGTGCTGATTTCCAGAGCCATCCTGCATGCTAGGGTTGCATTTTGTGGGCAACATGTGTTGTGGAAGAACCCTAATGAAGGTCCCAAAAGAATCAATGATGTAGGATAAGCCTGCAAGAGGCCTATATGCTGACCCAAACTCTGGTGCGGGCCCTGTCTTGCTCACCCCATCTTCCAGCATGAACTGGCCAGTATGCAGGATTCTGGGCATGGACACAGGACTGAGAAACAGGTTCAGAGCACAGAGAAATGACTGTGAGGAAGACAGAAAGCTATATTCCAGGAAGACCAGAGTAGGAGCTGGTGCAGGACTGGATGTGTGTATAGCAGAAGAGGCTTTTACTACCTGTTCTATTGTAAAACAGATTGCAGCTATGGTAGAGGCCAGCGGGGCTGGGCACAGGGTTACTCACAGCTGTTGATACTACTGTGACAAGAGCATAGTCCAGCCGCTGTTCCCACTCCGTGAAGCTAATTTGAGGGCTAATGTGCTTCCCTCATGGTGACAGATAGTAAGGAGCATGTTCAGAGCCTGGGACACTGGTGTGTAAGGGTCAGGGACATGGGAAGTCTTATACTGCCTGAGGTGCTGACTCTAGTGTTCCCTGTAACACTAGAACAAGTCTGTTCTAACAGAAACCAGTAGGCAGGTAGAAAGCCCAAGAGGCATTTTGGGGAGCAAATCAGGTAAGGCTGAGGTCAACCACCCAGGCCCTCTGTGACCACACCTCGTGATACCCTCATATCTTCTCCAAAACACCAGCATCCAAACCCATACTACTGGGGACTCCTAGGATACAGTCTAATCATAGCATATGTGTGTGTGTGGGGGGGGGTGGTATGGCTGCAAAGTAGTTCTCAGGGTACAACTGAGCCAAGTTCCCTTGAACCTGAGCCTTCTAAACAGACCCTAAAGGACAGTCAGTCCCCAGTCATCACATGGAGTATCAGGAGGCCACCCTAAAAGCATTTATCTGTCACAAAAGGCCTCTGGTCACAAAAGGGACTCAGATCTCAGACACAACCTTCAATCTGTCCCTCTAGGACATGGAACTCTCCTACAAAAGACAAAGTTACAGCACATCTTTTATCACATTCTCCTGTGCAAAGCTTGTCCAGGAACATGTTGCCAGCAATTTTTTTTAACCACTCAATGATATCCCTGTCACCCATAGGAATCATGCTGGTGACCTTACTATACTGTATTTTGTCTCAGATGACATGGCTGGTCACTTCTTACCACACACCAGGGTGACATTCCCAAGGAGGAACCCAGAAGAAAAGCTTCTTCAGGATCTGCCCCTGTCTTCTCTAGAGCCTTGTCTCAGTGGATAGCTAAATGTGAAAGAAGCAGGGTGAGGCGTCCTCCATGGGGGCCTCCCTCCAACTCCCTCTGGAAGTTTCCATGTGGGTTGCCTATGAGAACCACAGCTGGCTAGAACATTCCCTAGCAACAATCTGTGTTTAGTAAACAAACAAAGGAAGGACGCCAGCTCAGGACACCACCCTCCTCAGCCTCCTCGAACTAGTGACCTCTCCCTTGTCCTGTTTCCGCAGGAAGAGGGGAGGCTCAGGAGGAGCCAACATTCTGATACTGTCTGGGCTCATGATTCCTCCAGGGCAAATTCTGCAGCTGAGCTACAGCAGCAGCTTAAGACATCCTGCTTGATGTCCCCCCCACACCCCAGTTCACATTGCCTTGGCACAACACAGGACTCAAAAAAAGATTTCTAGGCTAAAGTTTTGATATTCCACCGTGGGTTCTGTTGGCTAAATTGTGTTTATTATCTATTCCCTTGTCAACAGGAAAGGAGTCCCACTGACAACAGGACCCTCACAAGCCACCAGCCTGGTGCACTCTTTCTCATCTGAACCACAGAAAGGATCTTCAAGATTTTTCTCTGGCCTCAGGGTTTCCTTAGATCCTAACCACAGAAAGTCCTAGCTCTTCTAACCCAGCCCCTCTCTTCCTAGCCCCTCATAGTGCCTAGCAGGTGCCAAATGATGCTGGTGCCCTCTAGTGGCTACAAACTAGTACTATGCGCTGCTCGTTTGAGCACAATGCCAATGTAGTCAGGCTAATAAAAGAATTTCAGAGGCAACAGCCTGACCTGAAAAGCCAACGAAGCTGAAGGAGCTCCAGCGTCTCTGGACAACAGCTGAGACTGAGCTTCCAAGTAGGTTTAAAAGGGCTCTGGGAAGAAATGGAGCTGAGGCATTTGGGTATGTGGCAGGAATGGCCCACTGCAGCAAACACAAAACCACCAGAAAAGATCCAGGGTCAAACAGGGTCATGTTAGGAATAAAAAAGAAGCAATCAGTGGCTATCAGACAGTGTGTGTCTCCTAAACATATCCACGTCCTGACACCAAAGTTTGCAGACCTCATTTGCAAAACAGAGTCATCATAAGCCAGGTAAAGGAGGTCACTGGGAACAATCTGATCCACTGTGATCACCGACCTTATGAAAATGGCAACTGGAGACCAACAAGGAGATTCAGCAGTTCAAAGAGCTTTCTGTGGAAGCCTGACAACCCAGATCCTGTGGTAGAGAGAGAATCAACTCCTGAAAGTTGTCCTCTACAGGAATGGGGTAGAGAGCTGTCACTGATTGTGTTGCCCGCCTGTGAATCCCATTCTAAGCTGCCTTGTCTGGCCCCAGCAGGAGAGGATGTGCTGGGTCCTGCAGTGTCTTGATGTGGCAGGGTGTGTTGGTACCCTGCGGGGGGCAGCGGAGGGGGCTTCTCCTCCTTCTTGGATGTAAACTGAATAAATAAATAGAAAAAAGAAAAGAATGTTGTCCTCTGAACTCCACATACATGCTATGGTGAACAGAATACAAACACACACACACACACACACACACACACACACACTAAATATTTTTATGAGAAACACAGCAGACTGAATTCCCAAGGCAGAAGATGAGCCAACACTGGGAGAAGACTGCATTCCCAGGCCAAGGTAGTACCAGGTGACAGAGTACTATCCAGTGACTTTCAGGAGAATGTGGCCCTGGGTCAGTTTCATTTTAGACTGCTACCCCAGAACTAAAAGAAATACATCACCTCTCGCCCAAGACACCTTGGGTAGCTCTTTTAGGACAGCCATATGTCTCACACACATTATTCCACAGTACTGATGGAAAGACATGAAAGAAAGGAAGCAAGACGGAAGGCAGGGAGCAGGGAAGAAAGTCCTCCTTTATCAGGCATAGGTGGACAAATTCAGGAAGAATGGCAGATCTAGATTTAGCACTGACTGTAGCTAGACTCCCACAGGTACTACACTCTAATGGCAGTGGGTTGTGCTAACACCTGTATCATACTCTTACTGAAACTTCCTGGTCAACCTGACAGGCCACAGGCTACCTAACATCTCAGAAATGCTACAGCCAAGCTCAGACTGGCAACCGCCATGCGCCAGTAAGAAGACAGGGAGGTTCTCTTCCTACATTCAAGACTCAAAGATGACTAGATTCTGGCTTTTAAAAACTTGTATAAAGGACATTTGGGAGACATTAGAAATTGTCGAACTATTGCCTGTTTTTTATCCATGCTAAGGCATTTAGTGGGGGTTCCGTGTCTGATGTCACATAGACAGAAGCTGATGAGCGATGGGCTGATGACTTCAATATCATCTCTTATCCCTCATCATGGTTGTAGGCCCAGGAAGACAATTACCTACATTAAAGAGCACAACAGGAACTGATGGCATTGGTTTTCAACTCTGCAGACCTAGGGGGCTGAGGAGTCTTGGTTAAAGGAGACGACCCCAGACAGAAGCTATTGGAGAGCAGAGGCCCTGGGTGTCAGGACACAATGGAGGCTCAGTAGGCCAACAACAAGGTCTGGAGATTCTGGAAGACCAAGGAGAGTACAGCAGGGTTTGTGGGCTCCGTACTAGGTATAGTGAGATGGGCTACCACTCAGAGTTGGAACCTGTCACCCTGATGAGAAGAGAAGAAGGTTGGTGGAGTGCTGTATATTTGAATAGCATGACTCAAGCAGCTGCATCTTTCTGTCTCCCTCCCTTGTGGAAATTTGAACTTCCACATGGCTTAGTCTCACACAGTTCAAATGCCCACTCCGTTCTGGTGACTGGATAGAACCTGGGCTTTATAGCAAAGACTCCTCTTAGAAGAGGATGCTGCTACTTATTTGGATCCTGGGCATGGTAGTGGGGCAGGGATCTGAGGCTACTCACTGCACCTGTAGTTGATTCCTGCAGGCCACCCTCAGCCTGTCTCTCACTGACAAGACTAGATGTTGTAAGATAGATTGAGTAAAAGTGTGTCCAGGGTTCACATGCCTGAGATATATGTGCCTGAGATGTGTGCAAACTCAAGGTGCATGTACCATGGTTGTGTGTGTTGGGGGGAGTCTTGGTCACAAGTATGCTTTGGGATGTACATTTTTCCAGGGCATGTATATCTTGGATGTGTGAATATATGCCTGGAATGTGTGTGTGCCCAGGATGCATGTGCAGGGTGGAGGAAGTCTGTCCAGGATGTATATGTGCCTATGCATACTGGGATGTATATGTGCTCAGGGTGAATGTACCTGGGATGGAAGTATCCAGAGTATGTATGTCCATGATGTGTGTCCCAGGATATGTATTTCCAGGGTTGCACATTGCCAGGATGTCTGTGGGCTCACAGTGTACCTGCCAGAGGCATCTTTGGTTTATCTCTAAAAATAAGTCTCCTATCACTAACAAGACTACATGAGCAACTGGTGTTGGCCTGCTCTGGGAATACAGGCAATGAGGGGCCTTCTTAGTTGTGATTTCTATTGCTGTGATAAAAACATCATGACCAAAGCAACTTGGGGAAGAAAGGGTTTATTTCATTGTACATTTCCAGGTAATAGTCCATCACTGAGGGAAGTCAGGGCAGGAACTCCAGCAGGACAGGAACCTGGGGGCAGGAACTGAAACAGAAGCCATGGAGGAACACTGCTTATTGTCTTGCTTACTATGGCTTGTTCAGTTTGCTGACTTATACCATCCAGGACAACCTGGTCCAGGAAAGGCACTGTCCACAGTGAGCTGGGCTTTCCCACATCAATTATCAATAAAGAAAATGACCTACGGGCCAATACCATAGAGGCATTTTCTCAATTAAGTTTCCCTCTCCAAAATTACTCTAGCTGTGTCAAATTGACAAAACTACCCAGCACAGGGCTCAAACTTTCAGGGAAAATATAGTAGCATAACTCTAAGTATATGTTGAGGAAGCCAATGACCTGCATTTCCACTTAAAGGTGAGAATCCCGATGTTAGATGAAAGAAGGGGTAATAAAAATAAAAGCTGGAAAATTAAAGATAGAAAGAGGCCAACAGTAGAGAAAAGTAGTAAACTGTAAAGGTGATTCTCTACAAGAAAGCCAGAGTGGTCATGCACACCTGAAATTCCATCATTGGAGAGGCTGAGGCAGGAGGACTGGGTGTTTGCGGTGAGCCTGGGTCACATAGAAAGATACAATTTCAGGTAAAAAGAAAGAGGGTGGGCATGGAGGGAGGGAATGAAGGAAGAAAAGAGGGGAGAGGGAAGGAGAGAGAGAGGGAGGAAGGGAGGCAAGCAGGCAGCCAATGAAGATGTTACTATATGTACTGAATGTCATACACACCTAATTCTAACACTTAGGCTGAGCCTGGAGGATCACAAGTTCATAGCCATATTGGGCTATGCAGAAAATTCTGTCCAAAAAAAAATTGCATCCTTCAGAGATGAAATAAAAAGCATAGGCAACATTGTGAATAACTTTATTCTAAGAAATTTGACATTTTAGAATACTCAAATTTCATGAGAAACATACCTTACTAAAACGAACATAAGATGAAGCAGAAAACCTGAGTAACTTTTTACCTGTTACATTGAATTCATTCTCAAAAGCCTTCCCACAAAGGAGTTTCTACCACTATGTAGAAAAGAACCAGCCACAGCTGAACTGGGAGATACTCTGCTCCAGTTTCTTCAACCAAAGACCTAGAGGTACCACCACACTGTGGGAAGCTTCACGGTGCTGCAATTACAAGTTATGGTACAATAAGTGCCCTGGGTTCAATCCCCAGTACTCACTGAAAGATAATAAAGAAAATGGTGGTGCTGGCAACAGGGATATTAGAGAATGAGTGGCAGAGTGTGCTGTGTGCTTTTCCAGGAAGATAATAGCATAGTGGTTATGAGCATAAGAACCAGGCTTCATTATAAACCACAGCATTTACGTGTGATAGTTTCTGACATCTGAGGTTTTTTTTTTTTTTTAAGATGCAACCCTTAACATGCATGTGAAAAATGAAAGACTTGTCAGTTCTAACTGCTGAAGTGGGTGACTGTGAACTACTACTGTATCCAGTCTCTGCCAAGATGTGGCAGTACTTGCCCTGGCTCTTGAACAGTCACTCAGTCCTGTGTTCTGCAAGGTCTCCTTCCACTACATATGCCTAGTTCTCCTAACTCCTAGGACCTGCAAAGTAAAGTCCACTGTAGACCCTACTCCCAAGAGTATGTCCTCACTAAGATAAATGCCACCAGTCCTCGTCTATGGCTTGTAGATGCAATTTTCTAAGCATAGGTCCACTTTGCACCAGCTTGGCACTGACTCTAAGTGGACTTATCCCTAAAGGCCTGGTCTCTTTGATCAGATGCCCACCCTAATATACACCATGCCATAAAGAAGTGAGTATGGATACAGGTCTTCCCATTGCCCTGAGGAACCATCTCTAAAGGCCTGTATAGGTGCAAGACTCCTGTATACTTTCCATGCTCTAGGAATGGGCTCTATAGAGCTATTGAAGCATACTGGCAGGCTGTGGGTCAGTGACAGCCAAGTATATGCTTCTGAAGCCCTTTCTTACTGATTTCACTACTCTCTGAGTCAACAGAGAAGGGCCTCTCTGTACACTGTAAGAAAGATGTGACTGCAGTCTATAGCTGCTTCCCTTCCCTTGGGTCACCACTTCCAGGGTCCGTCCCTACTTGTCATTTTGTATCTAGCAGATGCTAATATTCACAATAGCAAGAGCACCTTCTATCAGGCAATGTGGGAGTCACGGGGCTGACTTCAACACCACAGAAAAAAGTAATCTAGGCAGAGACAGAGCCCACTGCATAGGTATGATAGGGCTCAGGACCAATTCTCTTGAAGACCTTCAGAAGCCCTCTCCCTTCCAAGAGACATGTAGCCCAGGAGCCCACCCTTCTAGTACAAAGGATACAATATTGGCAGCACGTTTCCAGGTAGTTTGCAGAAAGGGGATAAAGATCCCAAAGGTGACAATGGACATGGTCAGGTAGGTGGTCCAGGTTAGTGCCTGAAAGGAGTGGAGGGGTGGTGACCAGCCATTCACCCTAGACAGAGGGCGTGGTAGGTGCTTCTTCACATTGTTTTCCTGGGCTTCTGGGAGGACCCGGTTCCGGTTGAAGCCACAGATGTTCATCTGAGAGACAAAAAGGACACAAAGCTGTCTATTCCTGGGCATAGAAAGAGTGTCTTGCAATACCACTTGTCATTGTCAGGGGTGTCACCAGAACCTGGGCCAGAAGCTGATATCTATATGACTAGGGTTGGCAGGAGATCCCTATCATGGCAGGTAGGTTTGCAGCTCCCAAGATAGTGGGCACAAGGCTGGGTATGTCTATTCTACACCTCTGTGAGACCAGATTTTCATGAATAGACCCCTTGATTAGGTCAGATCTGCTAGAGTACTTCTCTTGATGACACAATTCTGTCCCAAATGTTCAAGTGACAGATATAAGAAAAGACATAAAGAGAACAACACTGAGGCCTTCTTATATAAGAACCCAAGTGCATCCATTTTCATAGAACCCTACCTCCCACTACGCTTCCTCCTGGAGAGGTGCTACTGTGGAGGGAGAGCACTAGAGAGAGGGCCCAGGACAAGAAGAGCACAGAACAAGGAAAGGGGTCTGGCAGTGAGCCAACAAGATGACCCCTCATCTCCCTACCAGTCCCAAAGTTTAGCTTTGATAGTTGCTATGTGGGAATATACATATCACACAAAGCTACACACCACACATAGAACATACAGCTCCACAATACTCACGAAACACCACTCCTTACATCATACGCATGCGCCACACAATTCTTAGGTCCCCTGGAATCCTCCTTCTTGCTCCCTGGCTACCCAAACTATCTCTTCTGCCTGTCTCTGTCTATATTCTGCTCATGATACCTGTTAATACTCTGGCTTGACTCCCTCAAAGTTACACCCCACTGTCTGGAGTTTCTTCATTCACTCATTTCATAATAGCATAACTGATCCTCTCAAAACTTGACTAAGGATGTGTGACTCTGGTAAGCTTTGAATTGTGATTTTAGATTCAAGAGTCAGTGGTGCTGGGAGCTTCTAGTGTCTGTGACTACTTGGTTCATGTCTCTTCCTTCTATACTCTCCACTGTAGGCCTCAGTATAGGACCCTGCCATGACTACTAACACAGCTATAGCTAACACTCCCACAACTTCTTACATGTTACTCACAGCCATGAATTCTCTAGATGTGGCCTTAGGTGCCTCTCCTAATTCTCTTTGAACTGTTCAACCCTGCTGTTATCCATCCTGTTCATGATTTCCCATCAGTGCCCTTATTTCTCAGGAGAAGGCTTCCCAGTCTTGAATCTCTCATTGTACGTACCCATGTAGAGGTTCATCAGACAGAAATCTTGCCAGCTCTAAGAAACCAAACAAGCTATATGATAGCTGGCGTTTCCAGTGGGCTGAATCTCCCCCCATGAGGCTCTCGCCCAGGGATTCATGAGATGAAACATTACTGCCTTTGGCGAATATCTACTCTGCAGTCTTACCTCCCTCATCAGATTGAGCAGCACAGGTCAGGCACTTGTTGCTCAGTGCTGACATGTTAAACAGTGGTGGGGTGTTCCTATGAACAAAGCAGATACGGAACACCTCGCAAAGGAAGGTTCCACAGCTCATAAAGCCACAGCCCCTGGAACCAAGGAAACTAACTACTGCTGGCTGTGGGACATAACAGAGACCAGTGGGTAGCATAGATAGGATGGAAATGGGGGCTAGCTGGTTCCCACAGGTGTGGACTCTAAAAAGCAGAATCCAGCTTCACCACTCACTGAAGAGACTAAGTTGGCTTTACATGAGTTTTAACTAGAAAACTATTGCAATCTATTAAATGAAGGCCATTGGCTTATGTGTGGGCCTATCTGATATGCACTGCCAACTCCAACTTCTTTACATTTGATCTCCAAGGTTTTTTGCTGTAGAAGCTGAGGTGTACATGCTTCATAGAGAAACACAAAACTCTAAGCCTGACAAACTACCCTGCAGACTGCTCCTCTAAGGTGGTCAGGTCTGGATGGTCAAGTAACACTTCCTAGACTATGGATGCTGAGCAGTGAGTTGTTGAAGCCCCATTCTCTCCTGAGAATTTCCAAATACAATATTACTTTAGTTTTTTCCCTCAACGTTTCAAACTTTAGCTTAAGAAATGTTTAGGTCCTATTTGTGGGCTTCCAAGATGATGTGGGTACTCCCAGAGTGGGCTAACTGGGGATGTACCCCTGGGACTGAGATAGGATAGACAGAATACATCTCTTTCCATTCACAGTCCCTATGGTGGCTTCCATCACCACTAGAAAGCCACCTGCAGGCAGGATGTTGTGATAGCTGCTCTGCTGAAAGCCCAGGGTTTACAGTCTAACCTGAATCCGATGTCCAGAGTGTACAGGGAGCATGGGATTCAGAGAGTGAAACATACTGAAGACACTGGGTAGAGGAGTAAGAGCATGGTAGAGTATGACTGGTGGGAAGGACAGCCTGGTATGCTGGGATTCAGAATGTGTGCTCCAGACAGTCTGGGGTGGTAAGTCATGTTCTCCTAGGTCCTACATGTGTTGCTGGACTCTTGATGCATGACAGCAAGCCTCCCAGAATGTATCTCCCCTCACATCATTATTGTGTGGTTCTCAGTATTCCTCCAGGTATTCATGACATCTCTGCAGGGCTGGACACGAGTAGTAAAAATGAGAAGTAAAACTTTCTCATTCTTTATGACAACTACTGCCTCCTGCTGAACCCTGAAGTCTGGCCAGTGTTCACTAAGGTCTGCAGTGGCTGGTCCTCATGTTAGATCAAAAGGTGGTGCCGGTGTTGCTTGACTCTTTTTTCCTTCTAAGGATTTGGAGACAGTCATCCTGTCATATGCCTGACTGCACATCTTCACCTGTATATCCCACCTCTAAATAGCCCATGTGCACACTTCATCTGCACACCTCTCACCTGCACATATACTTCACATTCACACACCCTCTTCTGCACACACAGTTGTACATGCCTTCACCTGTGCCATCCTCACCTGCACACATGCATACCTATACAAACCTTTACCTGCATACAGGCCTCTCATTTGACCTGTGATGTATATGCATTCCAGTCTAAAAGAGATGAAAAGTGGCTTTCAACTGTCTTACATTTTGACCTCACCTCTTTCTTTCCTGAGATATTGGTAGTTTCCCCGGAGTGAGAAGTGGGTACTGGACAAGCCCCTGGGTGACATCCAGACAGTGAGGTTGAAGATTCAAGCCTGTACCTTACCCAATCAGCTGTTGTGTGTTTCTGGCTTGGCCAGGAAATGTCTGGCCTCCAGGGCCTCCCCAGTACTCAGTACTGAACAGTGGCCAAGGCTACAGTGTCTGGTGAGGAGAAGTCACCTAAGTCAGGCTGGCCTCCAAGATGTAACAGTAAGAGGAAATTATGAAATCCTACTAAGGCGAATACCCAGAATTGACAAATCCAGAGAATTAACTGGTGACCTCAGTGAGTATGGAGTTTCTTTACAGGGTGATGTTCTGAAATGTAATGGGTGTAGTGGCTGCATAATAATAAAGTGTAGCAAATGAATTACATAATTTAAATGGCAAATGGTTTAGGTTTATGCAGTTAATTTCACGAAACTACAGATATAAGGTCTTTCATCAGTGAAAGCACTGGGAAAAGCTTTTCTTCCTTTTCTCTGAAATGGTAGCTGGATGATCAACTGTCAAAAACAGCCTGTGTGCCTGTGTACCTCAGGCTGAGGGCCAAGAAGCAACAGCATCTCCCAAGGCTTATGTATAGTCCTCCCACTATGGGGATCACAAAACATGGACCCCCAGAGCACGGCCCAAACGCCCTTTGCTGGCCCAGGCTCCCACTCTAGATCATCACACTGAGGTCACCTTGGCCATGAGTAGAAGACCTAGGGCAGTGTACCAGTGAGAATCAGGCCCTGGAGAAAAGCTGTGTTCCTGGGAGGTTTCCACTCAGACATGCTGTATAAGTGCCTAGGCGTGAGAGCCTCCTGGAGGCTGGTGCAGCACAGTGCATCTCCATGATGCTGCAGGTCCAGAATCAACCTTTCCAGTCTCCCTCCCAGTTGGGGCAGTGGCCCAGAGCTAAATTAGCCTGAAATAGGAGGTGGTAGTGCCAAGATCAAAACACAGCAGTCCCAGGAAACAGGCAGTCTTTCCTGAGTGCTGCTCTTGGCTCAGACCAGAATTAGCTGCAATCGCTTACTAACGCTTTACCAGTTGTGAGATACTCTATCCTTTGCCAATGACTGTGGCAAATCTCAAAGACTTCCATAGACCTGTTGCTTTCTGCCCTGCTTGCCTGTGCAAAGCACGCCACCTATAATACCCCTCTAGCCACAGCCCTTCTCCCCTCAAAACTGAACTTCCACCTGCAGCTCACCTGTGAAGGTCAGATCTTCTTTGCATTTTTATACCCAATAAGGAGCAAGTTGCCCAGCTGGTCTATAGGATACAACAGGTGGCTCCACCATCAAAGCAAACAGGATGATCATACAGAGTTACCACCTTAGGCATCTCTTTATTAGGACCTGTGTTCATGTATTTTGCAAGTACAAACAGGTACTCAGCACATACATCCAGTTTTGAAACATTTTATGACTCTGAATACTTCATTCTAAAAGGTGGGGTGGTTCATTATTTGTCGGGGGGACAATTCCATCCTCTGGATCAGAGACCAAATAGAAAACAGAAGGTACCCTCTGAAGGCCTGTTCTGCAGGCTCTCCTTTGAGAACTGCAGGAAGGCTGTGCAAAATTCATGTAGAATGACTATGTGCACATTATCATAAACAGGCTTGGCTTCTGGTGCTCAGGAGACACAGAATTGAGCCATTTGATTACAACCCATTTATGTTCTATTGCCACTGCTCAGAACTTACTGGACACCATTCGGTGCTACTGGGCCTCTGCTGCAGACATGACAGTACAGACAAGCCACCATCTTCCTCAGGCTGCTACATGCCAGAGAGGATGAGACAAAAGTTTCTGTCTTGTGACAAAAACTGTATCAAATAAAATGTAGAAAAATAAAAGAAAACATCTAGAAAACCCACAAGTTAGTTCTTGGCAGGAGCTGCAGGTTCTGGAGACTGAAGGA